AAGAACTAGACTGGATGGGGTGATCTCTAGAGTTGCTTTGGGTGCTGGCGTGGCCTGAGTCAGCGCTCCTACCTAACACAGCACGCAGCCTGGGAGGGGCCTGAAATCAGTGGTCAGTGGTCCTGAGGAAGAGATCTTAATTACTGATAGCTCTTAGGATACTGGCATTATCCAGGCTTGTGAAGGGACGCCCAGGCCAAGGTCAAGGCAGGGGGTAAGACACTGACTCAGTGGCTCTGGGTTTGAAGTTTGTCACCTGATCTCCTTTTGTCTCTGTCTCTGTGAGTCAAACAGGCAGGCAGCATCCCCCACATCACACAGGTGCGCCTCAGGCAGTTCATTGAGACCTGCCCAGTGCTCTGAGAAGATGCCAAAGCATCAACCCTGGCTTGGGATGGGGGCAGGGAAGGGGAGGAGGGTCAGGCTGCCCCAGGGGGCTGCCCCAAAGACACAGGGACTGTCTGAGGAGGCATCCACTCTTTGTCTGGGGGAGACACCCATTATGTCAGATGGGGACCTCTATGAAATTGCAGGACTTCTCAGAGCCTTAAATGTTCATGTGGTCTGTGCATGAACAAGAGCAGGTCAGAGTGTGCATGGCTTCCTCAAATTATTGGACTTATTTTGACAGTTGGACTACATAGACGTTAAAAATTCGCCCACAGTGGGAGTGCATAGCTCAAGTGGTAGAGTGTGTGCTTAGCATGCACAAGGTCCTGGGTTCAATCCCCAGTACCTCCATTAAAATAAGTAAATAAATAATTACTTCCTCCCTTCCAAAAAAAGATGGAAAAAAAATTCTCCCACCTGTGGAAGGCGGCAGACAACAGAAAAGAGTGAAGTGGGCTAGGCATAAGGAGAATGGGCCACAGTTAGAAAGATCCTAAGTGAAGAGCTTAGGGCTAAGTCAGGGTGAGGACCCTCAGCTGCTTCGAATTTTTCCACACAAGAGCCCAGTGCTGCCAGATTCTCCAGTTTTTCAAAAGAAAACAAAAATCCACATTTTAATGTGAATTTTACTTTTAAATTGTGGTAACTAATTCAGAACACTCATTTTCACTTGCGGCATTTGATTTGTGTGTGTTTCATATCCCTGGAGAAAGAATCTCAGGTTTTTTCCTCCAATATTTTCCACAAGCTTCCTTCATGAGCAGGGCTGAATATGTCAGCTCCCCAAAACCAAACTGCGGGTTCTCTCGCCCTTTGGCCCGAGCTCGATGTTGTGCCGGGCTTCTGGGGTGCTGTGTCACTGTGCTCAGATGCCTGTGAGGACTAGAGAGGCTTTCCCAGAGCCACGCTCTGCCAGGTGCTCACGCACCAGTGCCACTCGCTTTGTCACCATAGAAACCAGGCAGTTTCTGACCAGCCCAGAGCATGGATTCTCTTCTCGGTCTTCTCAGAATCCTGAGTGATGAGCCAGGATGCACACACATACCCTTGTGGCAGTGGCTCCAGGAAATGACATGGTAGGAGGGTAACATGGGGCCAGCACAGGGAGTGCTGGACAATTCAAATATTTCATGGCATTTTCAATAAATCAAATGTGAGCAGGCTGACAAGTGTGGCTGTGGGCCGGGCACCGTGGAACTAGCTTGGACCAGCTGTGGAACTCAGTGCAGGAAACCTTCTTTAGAGAGACTGCCCAATGCAGGGCTGGGTGGGCTGCAGGGTCCAGACACCAGACACACCTCCAGGCCGGGCAGGCCCTTTGAGAAAGAGCATACCTGAAGGCATCAGAGGGTGTCAGGAGAGCCTGGTGCCAGGTAAACACACAGCATCAGGCAGCAGTCAGTCGGGAGCCTGCAACCCAGGGGGCCTCGTTCCTTGGGAGGCCTGGTCCTGGTAAACTGGAGCACCGGGTTGACCCTGGGCAGGGGAGGGCCCGCGTTACAGCCAGCGCTGCATCCCTTCCCAGGCCGGTCAGCGCTGTGGCCAGTGCTCAGAGTGGGGCTGGGTGGGGCGAGGGCAGGAGGGGAGTGGGGCCTGCGCCTGGTCAGGCAGCACGCATATTAAAACCACACCATCCCTTGACTGCCTTCTTCCCATGATGAGTCATGGCTCTGGCACAACTTCCTTCCACTGTGTTCTTAACACCATCTTTAAAAATTAGTCAAAGAGGAGGCATTTCTGGTGAATGTGCTCAGGAAAAGGGCCCAGTTACACCCAGTGTGTGAGAATGGGAGAGCAGAGAGGGCTGGGGCGGGAAGCAAGCTCCTAGACAAAATTACAAAAGCATAAATCCCACCTCTGTTGGTTACCAGCTGTGTGACCTCAGGGACGGTAATCTGCCTCTCTGATCCCCAATGTCCTCATCTGCAGAATGGGAGAGTAATAGTAGCTGCCTCCTAGAGCTGTGAGGTTTAAGCTGATAAAGTGTGTGAAAAGCTGTGCCCCTGGTACACAGTAATCACTCAGTAAGTACCTACTGTCATTTGAGGTAGGAAAGAAAATCCAGGATTTTATCACTGGAAAGGAACAGTTAGTTTACATGTGGGGAGATATGAGGCCCCAAAGAGGCAAAGCATTCTAATGAGAGTCCAGGATGAGCCAAGACCAAGTCTGCCAAGTTCAGCCCCTCCACCACACCCCATCTGGGGAACAAGCTAAACCCAGAAACATTGGCTCCCGGAAAACCCCACTCTTTCTGGCACCCAGAGGAAGGCCTCTGAACCCCATCCTGCTGGCAGCTATTCAGAGCCCCGGATGCCGGCAAAGCCCTGGCCTTGAACATTGGAGAATTGACAGGGGCCCCCTTTTCTTCCAGCCTCCTACTACAGAGGCTGCAAAAGCCGAAAGCCGGCTCCCCCAGCCTCCCTTGGACTCAGTCAAGTTCACCCAGGGATTTGTGGCAGAGCCAGGGGGCACCCAGGCCTGCTAGCTGGCTGCCCCAGCTCTGCCTCTCTGTACAGGACAGAGACATCATTCTCGCCACACCATGTTTATTCTCAGGATTTGCTCAGGGTCATTCCTATAACAGTTATTAAAACAGCCACTAACACTGTGCCCTTGGTCTGTGCCAGGGGCTGTGCCAGGTGAGGGTTTTTTTTAATTGCCACTACTTTATAAGGTAAGGCTGTAATATCATTATTTCCCCAGTCAGTGAACGAAGAAAACAGAATTTGAACACTGGTGTACCTGGTCCCTCTTCACCACATCTCCACACCCTCTAGACAAAAAGACCCTTTCCTTTCCTGGCTGGGCCCATGCTGTTCTGTGCTGTGGCCTTGGCAGGGTCCTCACCTCCACCAGAGGTCTGTTAAGGACTTTGAAGAGTAAAGAGAGGACATGTGGACACGGGCT